TAAAGATAAGTATTCGTATTATTATATCCCGAGTCTTGTTCTTTGATCCATAAGCTATCACATTTCAACTGCTGGTCACAATTTTCATTTAGGCATTTCATTTTTTCAACTTTATTACTAACATTCATCAGCTCTATGGCTGAAATGGAAGCAATTAAATTATACTTTTCAATGATGTGTATTTCTTCGTCTTTTAAACATCTTTTCTTTATTGGTGGTGTGTCTGCTGATCTGTTTTCTACTCCTTGATTATTATGTAAATATTCTGATTGTGTTGTAGAATCACCTTTAGCATCATGATAATCCAAAAACTCGCATTTTTCAGTATTATCAGTATTAATTATATTTTGGCAGTAGTTTTCTGATGATGCATTCATATCTAGTAGGGATATACGAGTGGATTATTGATCCCTCAAGTTTAAAAGTTCCACTTATTGATCGTCTTGTCTTATTGATGTGAACACGTGTTTATTTACATACTGACTGCCTGATTAACTGAGTTTCGACATAGAACTTTGCACAGAAGTGCAGGGGTTCAAGTGGCTACATTCCACGAAGCACACAAAAGGTAGATAAAAGAGGAAAGAAAAGAGGTAGTCAGCATCTTTGACAAAATTAATGTCATTTGAAGATGGTAATTCATGTAGAAAGAAAGAAAGAAAAGAGAAGTGGGGAGAGTACAGCACCTTGGAGGACACCAGCTTCAGTGAGCACAACAGAGGAGGATTTACCTTTGTATACGGTGTACTGCATTCTGTTAAAGAAGTAGGATTGCAACCAGTAATGGCAATGGGTCTGAACTTTACGTTCTTGTTATTGCCAAGTTTTGGGGACAGGGACTATTTTAATGTCTTTCCATGCGACAAGTACAACGTTTTCGGAGAAAGAAGCATTTAGGATGTTAGTTAGTGGAGAACATAAAGCATCTGCATACTGTTTTAGAACATATGCAGGTACACTATTAGGGTCAAGGCTACATAAGGGTTTAAGCGCTTTAAGACATTTTAGAACATCGAGAGCATTAAAGTCATGAAAGTTATCAGCTACACGATTAGTATCGTTAGAAGTAGTTATACTAGAAGGAGAGCGTATAAAAGACTGATTAGGAGCATTAACATCGTAAGAGAGGAAAACATTGCATCGCTTACTATTGCCAGTAATTTCATTGAAAAGTTTCCACATGCTGATAGGAGATTTACGTGATAGAAGTGTATGGTTATACATAGCATTAAGATTTTTGATTTCAGATTAATGGAACTAATTATATAGGAGATCACCGCGAGAGTGAATGTATCTGCGGCATTCATGGAGAACAGTTTTTAGCCATGTCACCGATTGTCTCCAGTCATTAGTTCTGAGGACCCTATTGAGAGGCAGTCTACACCTCCCAACGTGGCTAAAACTGACTATCAAAGAGTTCATGGACTGACTTCAAGTTTTGGTTAGACCACTACTATCCTTTTTCCAACCTGATCCTATGTCAGCTAACATTCTCTGTTGAGGAAGCTAATGTGTAGGCATGCGTAACAAATATTCTGACCATCTCAATCGGTGTAGCTTTACAACCTCACCGATTGACTTTCCCTCTCTATTTAATACTTGACGCCTAACCTTAATATTATTCACCCTTTTATACCACCTAATGCAGTATATAGAACGTAGGCACCTATGATGAAAGATTTGCAGCAGTTCAGGTTTCTACATACCATGTTTCACACTGAATTAGAAAAAAGTTTGAAGGAACTACACTTAGCAGAAATATTCAGGAAAAAGGAAAAACACGAAAGTTTGATGGCTTAAAGTGAGTGAATGAATCTGTGTCAGTGATAACATTTTTGAGCTACGTCGCAAATGTGTCTTATTGGTTCAATGGGAGGTGGTAACATTAACTTACTACACTGTACCAATCATATTCTTCTTGTTTACTGTAATTTCTCTATTTTGAATTAGTCACATGGTCATCAGAATACACGAAGAGGATAAATATTATCTCACGGTAATCAATGGTAAATTTATATTCGAGAGAATATAGAACTGTTGATCCTTGATATATCAAAGGCGAAGTCTAACTAACAAAAACTGATATATCCTCTTAGTTCTTTCTTTCTTAATAGTTATCCCTAGTTGAGGTAGGGTTTAATTCGGTTATCTTTGGAGATAGATTGATAACCGCAAATAAACCAACCAGCTCAGAGAACACTATTAATTGCAAGTGCGTCGGTGGCATAGCGGTTAGGACGCTCGCCGGCCATGCACATAGTTCGGGGTTCGATCCCCGGCCTACGCACTCCTTTACCTCGCTAAGCCAGAAAAAATGCCGGTAAAGAGGAAAGGTTGGGCATGAGGCCAGCAACCTCATCCTGTAAAAAAATAAACACCACTGCTACAGAAACTTCAAGCCACTAGCTTGAAGCCCTATATATCCCGGCCGATAACTGCTACCTTGTCGTGGTGGTCGGGCTTGAATACCGTAATGACCCAACATGCTAAACTGACTGGGACTCTGTCCCTGCAGGTCCTACCATGTCAGGAAGGTTGTTTGGATAGCGGTTAAACTAAAAGCAGTTACTATGGGGTACATGGGCTCCAGTATCCAATCGGATCAAATGGCGTATGAACCCATATGAGTCACAGGAAACGATGGGAATGCAGCTCCTGACGCTGCTCCACTGCTTTGCGGATTAGACTCCAAGTCAAAGGCTCGGGGGTGGTCCCTTAATAAAACCAACTGCTTCGGTTTGGGCGCCCGGGCAGTATCTCAGCCCTCACACAATGAACTGAATGAAGCAACAAACAATCAATGAAACTTATCGCGTGCTATTACACGTGTTGCAATGTCCTTTCTTCCCTTCCCGATGATAGTTAACGAATAGTGTTTGAACTTGTTAAGCATGACTGTTTGCCTTCCAGATGAAGTTCTTTATCCGTTCTCTACTTATATGTCTGTCTGTCTGGATTCAACATAGAACTTGGCACCGAAGTGCACCAGTTCGAGTTGCCACGTTCCAAATAGCACACAAAAGTAGACAAGAAGATGAGTGAAGAGAATCAATAGAGTTTGACAAGTATAAGAGCGAAACAGAATGAGTAATGGTAGAAAGGAATATGAAAGATTACAGAGACTGAATACATCTGCGCTGGCCATTGACAACGATTTTGAGCCATGTCACCTATTGTCTCTAGCCATTGATTCCTAGAGTCCCGAGGGCTCCAACCCGAAAGTCTGCATCTCCCTACCTGACTCAGTTTAACTGTCATGGATTGATGAAGCCATGTTTTTGTTTGGCCACCACTTACTCTTTTCAAACCTGCACCTATATCAGCTAGTAATGCTCGTCGGGAGAGGCGGTGGTTAGGCATGCGCAGCACGTGACCTAGCCATCTCAGTCTATGTAACTTTATAGCCTCGTCGATTGATTTTCCCTCTTTACCCAACACTCTATGCCTAACGTCAGCATTACTTACCTTAATAAACCACCTAACGTGAGACAGAGATCGCAGACATCTATGATCGAAAGCAGTCAACCTTTTCATGTCTTCAACTCGTATTGGCCATGTTTCAGAGCCATAGAGAAGGACGGAGCGAACTTATGTATATATATATTCTCTTCTTTCTTTTTTTCTTTTGACCTATGTTGTTTTATTATTATTGTGTGGCGCATCCTTCTTGGTGCCATATTGTACTAAGTTTTTATGCGTTTAAATAAATAATTAATTGCAAACCTCAATCAGTGTTTTGAATTTATATACTTCATGGAAGAGACAGAAGTATCTTATTCATGTTATTTTGGCAACAGTAAAGAATAGACACTAACTTCAGACGACCTAGAAACAACTAATCAGACTCTTTTAGGTGAGAAGTGGTACTTAATTTACAAATAAGAGTATCTGCGATATATGTAATAAAAATGAATCATATAGGGTATGTATCTCTAATATGCTGCGAAAACTGGTCCCAGATTCTCATAGAAGTGGTTATAGACATATCAGACCAACGTATTACCATTCCTCCAGCTGTAGCAGATACTGGTTGCATACATGCAATATATTGATTTCCAGAAGAAAGTGTCCAAAAGATCACCAGTTATGTACGACTAAGCAACTTATACAGACTTCCTCATATAAAGTGGTTGCATCTGAATGTATAACCATCAATAGCCCGGCAATACTTTTCCAGAGTTATTATCCCTGCACACATGCATATTTTATTCCTCTCTATCAACACATTATCTACAGAGAAGTCAAAAACCAAATTTAGGAGACACTTTCAAAGAGGATTATGACCAGGAACCATTTGTAGTGCTGAGCTATCTGATTGGTCAAATCAAGGTCATTTAACTTTGGTGTCTATTGTTTACTCTTGCTGTTTTTTTATTACCAGTGACTTTTGATAGACCACCTGGGACTCTGTTTTATGGTTACTGATAATCACCAGCAAGAAACATTTTCAGCTCGTATTACTTTTTAAATGGTATACAAGCTCGCCTTGTAACCGGAAGGTCCTGGGTTCGAATCCCGGTGGGTGCGTACTGCTGAAGAGTCCCAAACTAGGACGAAACAGCTGTCCAGTACTCCCAGGTTTTCCAATGGTTCTCTAACTAATGTCAGCTTATGATGAAATCCTGAAACCAATCAATTCCCTACAAACCAACACTTGAAATCTGTTTTGTTTATAATAATTTGGCAACTATTCACCCCATAATTAAAGTTTTCATAACTCAGTAATCAACTTGGGTTTCATGTAGTTGACCACACCTTTTGCGTGTGTGTGTGTGTGGGGGGGTTAATCATACTACTTGGCTGTCAAAACCTCAAACTCTGTAACTTAGTAGTTGAATATCTGGTATCTAAACCACAGCTTCATACTGATATTGGTACACTCTAATGAAGTAGTTGTATGCTTATTAATCGACAGACTTTAATTAACACTATGATCATTCAGTTTCGTATTTCTTTGCTTCATAAAATTCTTCAATACTTGGAAGTGAAGACAAGTAATATGTACTTTTAAATCATTTTTTTAAATTATTATGTAAGTAAAGTTATACAAAATAATTATAACCAAAAGATGAAGAAGAAAAAGTCTAAATCAAATAACGCGTTTCACTGTTGAAATACATGTATCTTTTGATTAGATGAAACTGCACAAAAACGAGAAAAAAACAGGTTTATCTGTGCATTTTAAACATATGTTAATTCACTGTCTGGATCATAGATTGGCTTGTATTTATTGTAAAGATTTTGTAATTCTTTCAGATATAATTCTTTAAGCATTGAGACTTCTTCCCTAGTTGGGTTTAGATTCTTCTTACAGGGTATCGGTCGTCCAACTGTATATGATAAAGAAAATATATAATTTTCATAATAAAGTGGTTGATGAGTATATCTTAGATTTATTTGCTTGGTAAACTGTGTGTGTGTATAGCTTTAAATGAGATATTTAGCTTGTGTCGAGAATTTTCCTGTAAACTGTCGGATCAAATGACTCTGTAAACAGTGTGCCATCTGCTTCTCATTTAAAGGATTAGGCTGTTAGTTCGGTGGGATTCTATTATAAGTATGTTTTTTATCCATTCAGACGTGCACGCAGTAGCCATGATCACTGCTAGAGTCGTAAAGACGAAGAGTATTTAGATAATTTTATGTTTCCTACGTCTGATATTGATAGTTGATGAACGGGTGTTATCCTTTCTCTATTTCCGGATCTTAATTAACGGACAAGTGAAAGAGGAAAGGCGCATAATGGGGAAGGGGTTACAATTAACTAGATGATCTCACTGGTGCCATTATTTTTTACATAGATTAAATTAATATCTAGTAAGATGTTACTTTTATTGTAGTTTAGCAAGATAGAAGAAAGATTGACCGTTTTCTACTGATATTTTAGTTAATGTAATTAAGATAAGATCAAACGAAACTACACATTGAAGTTCAGTGGTTAAGATAAGGTGGCAAGTTCAGATTTTGCAATAGCCCATCTCTGTATAGTAGGAAAATCGAGAAATATACTTAGTACTAAGCAGGAGGGTAATTTAGATATTGCTAATTCAAATCCTTCCAGGGAATTTGAACATGGAACGTCATCACAGTAAGGTTAATCGGTACTTTTTCAGAGGGTAATGGACAAGGTTTTCCTTAGAAAGTCTATTTTTTTGTTTCCTGTATCCATGTGTGCTTGATGAATATGGCAACTTGGACTGTTGCGCTTCTGTGCAAAGTTCTATGTTGAAGCTCTGTCTTCAGATAGTTACTCTACAAACGTGACATCACTAGACAAGCCCTCGAGTGGAACCCGAAAAGGAAGCGGCGAGTTGGTCGTCCAAGGGTGACTTGGAGGAGGTCATGTGAAGAGGAGATGAAGGCATGTGGGCAGACTTGGAGCCAGGTGAAAACTCTAGCAGAGAATCGAACGGAATGAGGACGTTCGGCTGAAGCCCTATGTTCCTCTAGGAATTAAAGGAAATAATAATAATACACACGTAGTTTTGAATATCATCATCATCTGGTGGTCGCCTGCATGAATCACTGAGCTACCTGGATTTCCATTCAACAGAATGTTTCACATTTGCTCTAGTTATTATTGTTTTAATCATTCAAATATGTGATTGCGTCGTGGAATCAACTGCCGCATATTTTTAGTTGGCCTTCAAACTACTCGTGCGCTTTTCTTAGACACGAAGGAAAAATGTCATAAGGGATTAGTGTATGTTTCAAATTCAATAACATTGCTTGATATAATATGGTGACTATAAACTATAGCAACCCGAAACAAAACTACCTAGTAATGACCTCTAGTGACCAATCAGATGCGTCTGAAGTAGAAGTGCGTTATTCGAAATAAACGTCTATATACAAGTAATGCAATGTTCAGCAAAATGGTTACTTAGGATAATAGTCTTGCATATGTTCCAAGGAGACCTCACAATTCCTGTACATAAGTTTGTCAAGGTCATCAATCGGTTCATCAGGTAGTTTCGTTTTGGGTTGCTACAGCTTAGAATCACCTGTAAATATACCATGAATTACTCTTTTACGTGCATATTTTGAATGAATAGGAAATATATTAAGTAAATTATGCTGAGAATTGTGTAGATCGTACCTAAAAACCAGAATAATGCTACTATTGTTTTATTACTAATGCAAGAAAATCTACAAGCATTGCAGCAGGGGAATGAACACTGCAGACAGTTTACGTATGAATACAGAGAAATTGAAAGGGGAGATGGATAAATCGCTTATGGAACACAAGAAAATTAAGTATCCATTATGCCTTGTCACCTGGCTGATCAAACTCTCCTTAAGTATATGTGACACGTACAGATCGACAGGAAGCGGCCAAAAGTGAAATCATCATTTTAAGTCACTACCTGCAGAAGTAGAAATGTTTATTCCTCAAATCTCGACTCAGTTTACGTTGTGGTCATGAAGTAACCTGTTTAGTTAGTAGCGTTAAATACTTCACTTTACTCAATATTATATATATATATATATAAACTACATGAAGGGAAGTACTTAAGATTACTAACTAAACAGTTCTGTTAGAATTTATGAACTCAGCAAAATCTCGGATTGGTCGATACCCGTGTAGTCATCACCAGCAGTGGGATCCAGCCTGGACGTTTTGTCTCATTGGCCGATTATTTCTCTCCACTTAATTTCAGTATATTGGCCTCTTGAATGAATAAATCGATTAGCTTTTTGTCTGTCTTAATAAGGTATCTATTAACATTTCGAATAAAGATTAGTAACAAGTAGCTTTAGCATGGGAATATTCGACTATCATATTTTAGTTTTTCTGAGAAATTGATTGATAATAAGTTGTTGTTTATGGTTATCATTATTGACAAGCATTCTTCTTTTTGTATATCGAATTAACCAAAAAGCTTGCGAATTCGTAAAACACGAGATTACTCATATAACTATAACTTACTAACAGTATTGACACTTGTACGATAAGGTATTAGACAATTAGCATAAAACAATGGTGGTGAGAATGTTGCCATTTCTGTAAATCTGTTTTGAAAGCGTCTTAACCAACTCCCCTCGGGATTATGTACTTGTTTATACATATTAGGTTCACCAAATGATACACATGGTACTAGATCTGAACTGAAAATTAAAAAAAAAATAAAGTATAATTTTAAGTCCTTTGGGAAACGTCGTAACGCTTCAAAATTTATCAATCAAACAGTTTTAGATATTCCAGTTTAGTGTTCATATTGTAAACTTGATTAGTAGAAGTTGACTAATAGGTTGACTGTGAATTAGTCAATTTGAGACGATATCGTCATGTTTACAGTCTTTTAAATCCTAACAACTTGGGATAAGCTTACATTACGATGTTCATGATCAGAAAATCGGATAATCCGTTGTCACACTATTTACATTGTTCACCCTTGTTTTAGCGGTTTAGCTGAAGCCTTCAGGGTGAAATAGAGTTCAAAGGAATAACTAATTGGTTACTGAAAAGGACGTATTAACCACTATGTTAATGTTTCACTTGGTCACTAAGTATAATGTCAGATGAACAGAAATATGTCTATAGTGGTGCATTGCTTAAAATTAGCATACTTCGACTTCATACCATATAGTGTATGCTGTGGTGAGCATTAAAGCCCGCTGCAACTGTATATCAGTCTATCAATGCTGACATTTGATTAGACTGATTACCCTTTCCTACCTCTTAATTTTTTGCTATCATTCTTGTCTCTTCTATAGGCTTTAATTGGTGGATGGTGACTAGCAGTGGAATCCACTATGCACATTTCGTCCTATTTGGGACTCGTCACCTGGATGTACCTGCATTATGCAGTGGGTGATGATGTCCCCACTGAGACTCGAACTCAGTGCCCATAGTTTCAAACGCCAAGCGTTATCCACTAGACTACTTGGGCCACGGGAGCCACCTCTTGTGCAACGGCTCATGTTAATTGTTTAATCGAATTTTAGATTTTCCCGTCGATTGACTGGATCGAAGTGCTCGTCCCAAATAGGACGAAATGTGCATCATCCATCAATTAAATTCCAATTACATGCCCAGACATCGTCGGAGCATCTGCACAAAGAAGCTGACATGTCAACCTGAGACCGAGCACTTCGGTTCAATCAATCGACGGGGTAATCTAAGATTCAATTAAATAATCTTCTACAGATTGTTTTGATTTTCCTAAAGATATGATAATTATTAACGGGTTTACGACCCTGATTTCAGATCCTTATTAATCTCATTTATCCGTTGATATTACAAAAGTGTATTTTATAGAAATCTAGGAATCTTACATGTTACCTGAGTGTTTCTTTTTGGATTTCTTGAAGGAAAATGCAGCAATTAGGTTAAAACGATGCAGTTGAAGTTAGCCAATAAGAAAGTGACCTACTTTTATCCTCTGCTCTTCAAGATGGTTGACAAGACAAAATAATAAAACAGATAAAACACTAAGAAATGTTTATTTATCTCTGTTGCAACTGCAAGACATACAAAATGAACTGAAGACCTTTAGATCACTATAATTATGAATTTTAGGAAGATGGGAGTAATTTCACTCAATTAACTATAAAGTAGTTGCTTGGGATGTTTTAGATTGTTGGAAGACGGATTTATGTCTACTGTACTGGTACTATATGATTTTGAAATACCATAAAATAGATAGAGTTCAAGTGTTTTACTGACTCCTTACACACAGAAATAAGAAAAGAAACAACTTTGTGTGTTTATTGATTTTCCTTCCCATGACATAAAATCAGTACAAGCCTGAGTAACAGTCATTTGATTGATAATGTAGATGAAAATATCGAATCATTTTGAACCTTCGATAACAAGTAATGATTCACTACAATCAAATATTACACCTGCTCTCAAGAATTTATTGCTTACCAAATCCATTACTCTAACTTACTTGTCATTTGTAGTTACGAACATATGTAATATGAACGGTAAACTGGGTGATGATTCCATTAATTTTACGGTTTATGATTATGAAATAGAGATTTTCTCAAGGAAGTCAATAGACACTAATAAGTTCAAATAAATAATGATGTGTCGTTTGGAAACACAGATTAGTCTTGTTCATCAGTGCCAAGACTTCCTATAATTTCTTCGAACTTTGTAAAACGCTTTATAATCAAAGGCAATAGTTGTGTGATAAAAAGTTGCAGACTTTCGTCAGCAGCTTCCTACGCTGGTACAGAGATTCAGATGGCTAGCCGACCAGAAAGGATAAGCAACGAGGGACTCTCGCAGGCATCGAATCATCCATCGACCAGCGGGTATGCAGAGGGAAATAGGCTTGTTCAGAGGAGACCACCGAGGTCCCAGAATGGAACCTGGATTTAGAACGATATGTTGGGCGCCCGAGTGTTATATGGAAAAGATCTTGTTTAGGTGGAAATGAAACCTAATGCACAATCGTGGAGTCAGTTGAAAGAGACTGTAGAGAACACAGCAAAATGGGAATGTTCTGCTGAAGACCTTTGTTCCCCTCGGAATCCAAACGAATAATAATAGCTAATTTCTTATTATTGTTCCATATTGGTTTGTTTATTAGATGTATAACACGGTGAAACAGTATTATTAACTGGATGACTTTTCCAACAAAATTTATTGTTCATAATCATATCAGTTATAATCTCACACGACTTCGAAACTTGAGTTTTATGGTTTTCTTTGTTCTCTCCTATTTATTGTTGTTGGGTTAGTAGAATTTTTCAGATGTCCGGGTGGGGGAGTGTTGAATCATTCCTATTACACGTATTTGCACTTGATTCGATAGACAAAGCTTCTGTTATCAATCTCTCCCTCCGCCCTGTGACATTAGATTTTAAAATTGTCGTCCTATCCCATCCTATTGTATGGTTGTTTGTAACTGCATGCAGTGAGTGCTATAGCTGAACTATTCTCTAGATTTCTTATCTTATTCGGGTCAACTAATCTATATTTAGCTAGGTTTCTATGCTCGGCTAGTCTGACTGCCCCTGTTCTACTAGTTTGACCTATGTATATGATCTGACAATCATTTCAGAGTATTAAATAAACTAAGTTGTTTTGTTTTAAAGGCACCACAGGATCCTTTAACCGACAAAGCTTGTCTCTAATTGAGTTTTTGGGTTTGAATGCCACTTCTATTCCTGCACGAATGTACAGCCTAGATGATGATTCGTCGAAAAGAAAATTTTCTGCGCTGCAAATGTCTTCTTAATATTCCTGCCTTGTTAAGAATTCTGCGTAAGATTTCCGAGGTTCCTTCTTTGTATGGAATTACTACTGATGATTTAGATTCCTTATTGTTGGCGTCGTCATTAATATAATTATTATTATCACTACCACTGTTATAATTATTTATTTTATTTTTACATTTTCCTAAATACTTTCCGACTAATTTGTCAGGTAATTATTAAGTTTCAAAGCTTCTCTTATATGCTTCACTTCCTGTCTTAGATTTTCCTTGGTACTACTTAGTTTATGTGCTCTATTATTTAAACATTTCACCAATCCTATTTTCACTGACATAGGATGGGATGATCGGAAGTTTAAATATTTGTTTGAATGTGTGGGTTTCCTGTAAACATTAGTGTCTAACTTCCCATCTTCTTTCATTTTTACTCTACAATCTAACATTGAAGTTCCCCTTCTTGTCATACCTCCACCATACTTTTGGGGTGGGGGTGAACGTTTGAATCTCTGTTTTCCCACCTATCCATGAATATATCTGCCACAACCGGGATATTGGTGACTACATGGCAACTCCCTGGAATTTAAATACTGTGGAAGTCAGACATAGCTGCACTCCCAGTGTTATGTCCTCCAGTGGTACTTGCGTCCTAAGTTCCAGATCTTGGTCACAAATCAGTTCATCATCCAGTAAATAATACTGTTTCACTGTGTTACATATCTAATAAACAAACTAATATGGAATTACTTACTATCACGGTGCCGAAGTTATACACATATATTCTTATTATTATGTCCAGTCTTAACAACTTTGAATAAACACTTATCCATTATGGTCTTGTTACAGTAATTTAGCTTGCTTAACCAAATAATTTGCATTTAGTCGGTTTCCCGATATGGTGTAACAACAGTGAACTGCCTTTTCATTCACATCAGTGAACATTATCAACTACATAGAATTAGCTGATTGTCTTACCTCATATTTAGCTGATCTAATTAATGGTAATTAGCATATATTTGTCATGTTTTATTTAAACCATTAGTTGAACATCTTTTCCATGTTTCTCATCTTTTCATACCATCCCGATTATGTTCCCTATTTCAATATGTACTACAATCACAATTAGCTCTTTATTCAATATATATTCATCTTATGTGTGAACAGAAAATAGTAAAGAGATTTTACTTACCCTGTTAGCATTGCTAATTTAAAGAAACCATATCGTCGATTAGTATGAAAAACATATTTTCCAGGGCGAGAGTCTAATGCTTCAGGAGCACCGCCTAAAACAACTACAACAAAATTTCCTGTATTTCCACATTGTTCAGGATCAAGGAGATAAGAAATTCCTTTGTATGTAGCTGCCACAAGATCTAAAAATTGGAATACAATAGTATTTGAATAATTTTCTGTAATTACGTCAACTGGATAAATAAAATTACCAAGAGGAAATAAATTTCTGTTTACTATTGTGGCCACAGTTGATATATTGGGTTTAATTCAGATTCATTGAGATGAGTAGTTGGAAACCACTCGCATCAACCGGCAGTACTTACTAGCCAGATCGATGTGTTTTAAACGCCGGACAGCTGTTTCACCCATTCGGTACGGAGCTCGTCATCGATGTGCCAGAAATGTTGTGTTGACTACCATTTCAGTACCGAACAGAACACGTATTGTGTTTTGAACAATTTCTTTTTCTAACGGAAATTTCACCTCCTCGAACTTGGTAAATTGCAAATACCTAATTCATTTGCTTATTGAGAATATGATTTAGTGTATTACCAGTTTGAATAAAGCATTTAGAAGACAAATTTTGCGAGATGATATCATTTCGTAGTTTCTTTACAACCGCTTTACAACTAACATGTTAACAATGATAAAATAAAGTTCATGAAAATTACTCAGTTAAATAAAAAAACAAAAGTATATACTAATGACCAATCATATTTAGATAGGTCATGTTGTCCATGGTAGGCGAAGATTGAAGTCTGTTGTTTTTTGTACACACAGTTTAGGCTGTATGTGATTAATCCAAAGTGCTTCCATCACCTTCAATAACCTTGAATTAGAGTTATGTTAAATAATTGTGAAACAGTCATTAATATTGATTTTGTGACCAGACATTAATAAGTGTTTTGCAATGGATGATGCTGGATTTCTACTAAGATTAATCGCGTTAGGATTTTCGATATGATTTACTAGCCATTTTGGAACATGTTCTTTTCGATGACATTGGAACAATCTGTTGGTTCTACCTATATAGGTGTCACCGCAACAACTGCAGGTGAACTTGTAGATCGAGTTTGAAGTAGAATCCACAAAATTTCGTCCTTTAATCGTAGGTACAGGGATCAAAAATGTTCGGCAAGTGAGAAAAAGAGATGCGGCGTAGAATGTGAGTTTGATGGCTGACCGAAGCGCATCACACATTGTCACCTGGGTAAATTTGGTTCCTAAGGAAACTGGGGTGAAATTTCACCTCGTACTACGTAAATTTTAAATGGAGAATTTGATTGTTATCATACTTACTTCTAAAGATCTTAGGTGGACAGGTCAGTAATTCGTTCTCATATAGAGAAGTGGAGTGGTATAGTAGGAAATGGTAATGTGTTTTGTGTCATTGTTTCTCATTGTGTATCAGTTTTACCGATAAATGAAGCGTAAAAATATATACTACTTACAAATTATCAGCAGTAAGGTGTTTTTGTCAAAAAATGGGTAACAAAGTGTCTCAAATTTCTTCGCATTAACAAAGGACCCTGGTAATGTTAAATACTCTTACAGTTACCTCTCTTATTTTGGTTTAGTGATTCTCATTGTTATTTCGACCTACAGTATATCTTTTCAACTTGACCTAAGTCTATTTTTCACCTCTTAACCCTTTATTAATTTCATACATATTCCTGTGACATGTGCGTGTTTGATTAGATTGTTTGAAATGTGTTGCGTAAATACATGATTACGTCTTATTATTATTTTGTCTAAATTACATGAATGTTATGTGTGTATAACTATAAAAAATTATTGACGTCTCATGTGACCTTTCTAGTGATGGTCTCTCATTAGATATATTAAACGAAATCTATTGTTGTCTTATTTTTATAACTCAGTAGTCATGTGAGGTATGGTTCGACTTTTGAAAGGATGATTTTCAACGTTCAGGTTCGAGATAACAAAATATATTTAGCAAGATTGTCTGGAAGTGAAATATCCTATTTAGTGCCTGGTGATATATCTCGCCTTCTTGTTATGCTTGGTGGTAATTCGATCAAGTCACAAGTCAGTAAAACTTGAAAAATAAAGTTCGAATTTTCAGGGAAGCGACCATCTACACAAAAAGCCTTTCGTGTAGTTCAACATTACTGGATTGTACAGAAATCAAATTCACCTGTACTGATAAAGTGATTTCATGTAGTTTCTTATTTCTTTCATTGTTTTATTACCCTTATTATTACTGTTATTACTATTACTATTATTTAGTTCTGATTGTTCTGTATTAAAATGAAGCCAATTTTAGGGATTACTGCTACGCAAGAATCGCGTACAAGTGCGGTGTCTGTGAATTAGCTGCTTTTAGAATATTTCCTTTCTTATGCATTTTTCTGATTATTTCCCTCTCCACTCAGCTGATAAGAAGAAGAAGAAGAGAAACACTTCAGCTGGAGAATATGTAATCCAAGCAAAATTTCAGTCGTTTATGTGTCATTTAGGTTACTTTTTTAGTTTTCATCATCTTCAAAATTACTGTGTCAAGCTTCAATAGCGTAGGGCAAACACGTACGCATATTTCGTACTGGGGAACTAGATAATATTGTTATATTACTGCGAGCATTCTAGATGCAACTAGGTGGTTTAGCCTAATGATTCTAGGCTTAACACTATATGAATTTGTAAATATACAAAATCATTTAAATGTTAGATAATATAACAAACCACATATTCAGTTGTTTTTTTGTATGTGATCTATTAATCGGCTATAGAAATTGTGATCATACATTTTTCATCTGTTGATAAAGTGTTTGACTGATTGGTCGATGAACTCACCAATTTGTGTATTACAAATAAGATCGAATTATACAAGGCTCTATCTATCCTTTGTTGACACCAAATTGTAGTGTTAGATAGATGTATAACACACCGCTTACCTTGATTAGTTTGAACAAGACCAAAGCAAAGACATTTACAGGATGAAGTGAATTCTTTTTATCCTGTAGATGTGCAACATTCTAAGTCTTAGTTAATTTTCTGTGCAAAACAAAAGTGAATATACGTGGAACTATATACTACTGGTTTTGATAATAATGATAATGATAATAGCTTTATTCCAAAACAGTACTTGCGATACAGAATGGAATTCTCAGCATTTTTTACCACAATATTGCATCCAGTTAGTAAATTAAAAATAAAAAAAATTCTACATAGATTAAGGGTAATCTCAGTTAGTTTTGACAACAACATATTGGCATGTCGATAGCAAAGCCAAAATTAAACAGTGTTTGAAGGTGCTAGAAAAGTAGGTTCTAGCATATTTACTGGCGTAAGCAGACGAAAGAAACAAAGCTGCACATAACAGAAAAAAGAGAGAGAGAAAAGGAAAAGAAAGAGAACGTTGTACCTATACATGATATGAGTTGGAAAGACGAGATCCAGTTGTTCTACTGACTATTTAATAAGTTCCTCTTCTGGCTCTACAATTATATACATGTTTATATACAAATCGATATTATTTAAAAAACACTAATATTGTTATTAACTACCAACCTTGAATATTCTGTGTATATAAACATGTATATAATTGTAGAGCCAGAAGAGGAATTTATCGAAAAGAATATTCTTTGCTCGATTATGTTGTGTTTTATTTAATAAGTTATAGGTGTCACGCCTAATGCTTTCTCCATCGCACAGAACACGAGCTAAGTAGGGTATAGTTGAGTTTTTGTACTTACTAGTGCGAGCATATAGTTTTCTATATAGACTTCTGGTTTTGCCTGATGAGATACAAGGGGAGAGTTGTGAATGAAGAGGGTGGTGTGAGTTAGATAGATAGAATGGATTTAGCTCATTTTTCACATGAGTCCAAGTGCTTGTCAACCAGAATATTAACAAGCTGGTTAAGTGGCACACTGCTTACCCTGCTGACAATCTCCCCCTAAACCTATTCAATTATAATTGTCTAAATTATTTATTTTATTTATTTTGACCACTTTATCTTTAATTTACGTGTTATTCTTGTAAAATTAATTTATTCTATCCATTTCCACCTTTTAAATCTGTATTGATTTTCTTCGTTAACTATTAACCCATTGACACTGTTTAATTATTGTTAACAAACTTATCGCTACTTGATTGGCAAACTGTCGTATTGTAATTAAAATGCTATATATAATTAGAGTAGAGCCAAAGATGAGGATCTAATCGAAAAGTAAATATTTCTTCGCTCAATCTTTCTGTTTTCTAAATCTTTAACATCTTGCGTAATAAGGTTTAGTCTTTCTTCAGTAGCCCAGGAAAAACTAAGGGGGAACAATAAAGAATAATAGGCAGAATACGGGAGTTAACGAATTGTAGGAGTAAGGGTTGGGTTATACTAGAATGTCTTAACTTCTTGATGTAGAAGGTAAGACGGAATATTTTCTTAGAAATCATCAAGATATGAGACGACCAGGAAAGATCAGCAGATAGAATGATGCCTAGGTATTTAATTTCTGACTTGGTTTCTATTTCAGTGCATCAATGTTGCACACCTCGTGAGTGCTAACCAGTTTGTTTAGGTCAGATTTGTGCCTAAGGGTGAAATTGACTGTTTGGCATTTGGAGGGGTTTAAGGTGAGACCGTTTTCCTTGGACCATTGGCTGATTTCTGATAAAAAGCCGTTTAGTTTAGTGCAGTCACTTTGACATTTGACAGGTAAAGATACAGTTAGGTCATCAGAATATTTGACAAATGGTTGACTAAGATGAGTAGCTGTGTACCTCTCATACCTAGCGGCAGTGCTCGTTAGCCAAATAGAAGTGATATAAACACCAGACAACCGTTTATCCTTTATTTTATAATCTAACTGAAAGAAATGGATATTTTACAACTATCATCTTGAAACTATTTCCTAAATAGATCCGTATTAACTACCACTGACATGAAGTCCATCTCAGTGGTGAAACCTATTTCCTATGATCAAGTGTGTTACATTACTAGAGTGTATTAGCCCAAATTACCATTAAATTGAAGTGTACTACTGGTGAAATCTATTTAGCTGACAAGACATCTATTAGCCATATATTTTCTATTATGTTAATATAGAGAAAAGCGTTAGTCGAAAATTATGCTGCTGTTCACCTATAGCGAAATATTAAGCCGCATCATCCTGGAGAG